AATCCTGGATCCCCCAAATCCCAGAAGCCCCCAGATCCCAGGATCCCCCAAATCCCAGAACCCCCAAGATCCCAAGGATTCCACAAATCTCTTGCCCCCCCCAAATCCCTTGCCCTCCCCCCAAATCCCAGCAACCCCCAAAGCCCCGGCCCCCCAAATCCCAGGATCCCTCAAATCTTTGGACCCCCCAGATCCCTGGACCCCCAAATTCCAGGATCCCCCAAATCCCTTTATCCCCAAATCCCTTTATCCCCAAATCCCTTTATCCCCAAATCCCTTGACCCCCCAAATCCCAGGATCCTCCAAATCCCAGGACCTCCCGAATCCCTGAATCCACCAAATCCCTTGACCCCCCCCAAATCCCTTTATCCCCAAATCCCTTTATCCCCAAATCCCTTGACCCCCCAAATCCCAGGATCCTCCAAATCCCAGGACCTCCCGAATCCCTGAATCCACCAAATCCCTTGACCCCCCCCAAATCCCAGGACCCCCCAAATCCCAGGATCCCCAAAATCCCAGGACCTCCAAGATCCCTGAATCCACCAAATCCCTTGACCCCCCCCAAATCCTAGGACCCCCCAAATCCCAGGATCCCCCAAATCCCTGGACCCCGCAGATCCCCGGATCCCCGAAATCTCTTGACCCCCCCCCAAATCCCAGAACCCCCCAAATCCAGGATCCTCCAAATCCCTGGACTCGCCCAAATCCCGGGATCCCCCAGATCCCTGCATCCCCCAAATCCCTGGATCCCCAAATCCCAGAATCCCCCAAATCCCTGGGCCCCCTAAATCCCTTGATCATCCCCTTAAATCCCAGGATCCCCCAAATCCCAGGACCCCTCAAATCCCAGGATCCCCCATATCCCTGGACCCCCCAAATCCCTTGATCCCCAAATCCCAGAATCCCCCCAAATCCCAGCATCCCCCAAATCCCTTGACCCCCCAAATCCCTTGCCTGCCTCAAATCCCAGGGTCCCCTAAATCCCAGGATCCCCCAAATCCCTGGACTCCCCCAGATCCGTGGACCCCCCAAATCCTTCGTGTCCCCCCCCCCAATCCCAGGATCCCCAAAATCCCTGGGCCCCCCAAATCCCTTGACTCCCCGAAAACCCTTGACACCCCTCCCCCCCGATCCCAAGGATTCCTCAGATCTCAGGATCCCCCCAAATCCCAGGATCCCCCCAAATCCCAAGATCCCTGAATCCCTTTACCCTCCCAAATCCCAGGATCCCCCCAATCCCTGCCCCCAATCCCGTTGTCTCCTACCTTGAGCAGATCCCATCCCATCCCATCCCATCCTAGCGCTCCATGTCCTCGGTGTCGCTCCGGAGGTTCCGGCTCAGCTCCGGGTGGATCCTTTGGGAATTGTCCTCCGGGTTCTGGACGTTCCGGCTCAGCTCCAGGTGGATCCTTTGGGAATTGTCCTTGGTGTCGCTCTGGAGGCTCCGGCTCAGCTCCGGGTGGATCCTTTGGGAATTGTCCTCGGTGTCGCTCCGGAGGTTCCGGCTCAGCTCCGGGTGGATCCTTTGGGAATTGTCCTCGGTGTCGCTCCGGAGGCTCTGGTTCAGCTCCGGGTGGATCCTTTGGGAATTGTCCTCGGTGTCGCTCCAGAGGTTCCGGCTCAGCTCCAGGTGGATCCTTTGGGAATTGTCCTTGGTGTCGCTCCGGAGGTTCCGGCTCAGCTCCAGGTGGATCCTTTGGGAATTGTCCTCCAGGCTCCGGGCCAGGCGTCCCGTCAGGAGCAGCACGTGGGACACCACCCGCACCCCCTGCCGGAGCCTGGGAATGTTGGGAGCCGTTCCAGCCGGGAATGCCGCTCCAGGGCGTCCACAGGCTGGGATTCGGGGGGATCCAGGGATCGGGGGGGGGGTGTGCTAGGAATTAGGGGATCCTGGGATTTGGGGGATCCTGGGATTTGGGGGATCCAGGGATCTGGGGGGGTGTGCTAGGAATTGGGGGATCCTGGGATTTGGGGGGTGGTCAAGGGATTTGAGGGATCCTGGGATTTGGGGGATTCTGGGATATGGGGGATGCTGGGATTTGGGGGGGTCAAGGGATCTGGGGGGGTCAAGGGATTTGGGGGATCCTGGGATCTGGGGGGTCCAGAGATTTGGGGGATCCTGGGATTTGGGGGGGTCAAGGGATCTGGGGGGGTCAAGGGATTTGTTTATCAGGGATCTGGGGGGTCCAGAGATTTGGGGGATCCTGGTATTTGGGGGCTCAGGGATTTGGGGGTCCAGGGATCTGGGGGGTCTGGAGATTTTGGGGATCCTGGGATTTGGGGGCTTCTGGGATTTGAGGGATCCTGGGGTCTGGGGGGGTCAAGGGATTTGGGGGATGCGGGGATTTGGGGGGATGCTGGTATTTGGAGGGCCAGGGATTTGGGGGATCCTGGGATTTGGGGGGGTCAAGGGATCTGGGGGGGGATGGGTCAAGAGATTTGGGATCTCCACCCCCTTCCCATGGCTGTTATTCCTCCCTTTCCACTCCCAAATCCCACCTGTCCCTTGGAAGCCATGGGACACTTGGGAACATCCCCAGGTGTCCACAGGCTGGAATTTAGGGAATCATCTCCATGGAACATCCCAATCCCCTTCTCACGGCTGTTATTCCTGCCCTTCCACTCCCAAATCCCAACTGTCCACTGGGAACAGCCATGAAGGTTGTTGGAAACTTGGGAACATTCCAAGGAATCCACAGGCTGGGATTTGGGATCTCCATCCCCTTCCCATGGCTGTTATTCCTCCCCTTCCACTCCCAAATCCCACCCGTCCCCCGGAACCCCCCCCCGGAACCCTCGGGAACATTCCCGAGCCGGAACCCCGGCTCCCTTCCTCCCCCATTCCCGAGTCACTCACTCCTCCTTCCTCTCCTCCAGCCGGGAATGCTCCTCCCGGGCCACGTGTTCCTCCAGCTCCCGGCGCACGTTTTCCAGGCTCTCCCGGAATTCCAGGTTGGCCTCGTGGATGGCGGGAAGCGCCCGGGCCACCACGTCCTGGAAGCGGCTCCCGTTTTCCTGCCGGGCGGCCGCCGCTTCCAAGGATCTCAGGGCGGCCTTGGAATCCTCCAGGAGCTCCCGGAGCTCCTCCAGATCCCGCCGGGAAGCGGGAGAAGGCCCGGAGGGGCCGCAGGGATTCGGGGTGTGGAAGGTGATCCCGCAGCGCTGGGAATTCCCGGGAGAGTCCTCATCCCGGGAAAAGGGGGGTTCCGGATGCTCCATCCCGGTTTTGGGCCTTTCCCGGGCGCCGGAGGGAGGGAGGAGGGCAAAGATTCCCACCAGGATCCAGCAGGAGCCGGGAATCGCCCGGATCATGGCGGCCTGGGGGAAAAATGGGGGGGGGAGGGTAAAATTCCCACCGAAATTCCCGCGTTTTTCCATCCTGGGATTTGGGATTTGGGATTGGATGATCCACAGGGAATGGGGGGAATTTTCCTGCCCTTCCCTGAGTTTGGAAGAGCAAAATTCCCTCTGAAACTCCCACATTTTTTCATCCTGGGATTTGGGATTTGGGATTTGGGGGAGTCATATCCTGCTGTTCCCACATTTTCCTATCCTGGGATTTGGGATTTGGGATTGGATGATCCACAGGGAATGGGGGAATTTTCCTGCCCTTCCCTGAGTTTGGAAGAGCAAAATTCCCTCTGAAACTCCCACATTTTTTCATCCTGGGATTTGGGATTTGGGATTTGGGGGAGTCATATCCTGCTGTTCCCACATTTTCCTATCCTGGGACTTGGGATTTGGGATTGGATGATCCACAGGGAAAGGGGGAATTTTCCTGCACTCCCCGAGTTTGGAAGAGCAAAATTCCCTCTGAAACTCCCTCCTTTTTCCATCCTGGGATTTGAGGGGGGGGTCTTATCCCGCTGTTCCCACCTATGGATGATCCACAGGGAAAGGGGGGATTCCCAAACTCCCTCATTTTCCCATCCCAGCCGCTGGAATTTGGGATCTGGGGGGGTTCATATCCCACTCTTCCCACCCTACGGATGACCCACAGGGAATGGGGGGAACCCCCCAAAATCCCGCATTTTCCCATCCTGACCGCCGGGATTTGGGAATCCGAGTCCCAGGGAGGGGTTAAAACGCGGGAGAGATCCCGAAATCCCCTCGGGATCCAGGGAAAAGCTGGAAAAGCCGCGGGCAGCCGAGGCGGCTCCTGCCAATCCCACAGCGGAAAACCTCCGGCGCCGGGAGCGGGAGCGGGAGCCGGAGGGGTTTGGAATGACAAAGGAGGGGGGGGGAATTTGGGGATTTGGGGGGTCCCCCCGTCCCGTCCCGGATCCCTGCGCAGCGGGAATGTGTTCCCGGCTCTTCCCAGCCCATCCCATCGCACCCCATCCCAGCTCTTCCCAGCTCATCCCAATCCATCCCAGCTCTTCCCAGCTCATCCCACCCCATCCCAGTTCTTCCCAGTTCATCCCAATCCATCCCAGCTCTTCCCAGCTCATTCCAATCCATCCCATCCCAGCTCATCCCAGTCCATCCCAGTTCATCCCACCCCATCCCAGTTTTTCCCAGCTCATTCCAATCCATCCCATCCCATCCCAGTCCATCCCATCCCATCCCAGTCCATCCCAACCCTTCCCATCCCATCCGGGCTCCCGGCGGGACCCCCCCCCTCCCCCCCAAAAAAATTCGGGAATGCCGATCCCTCTTCCCTTCCCCCTCCCTCTCTCCCGGCTTTCGGGCGGCCGCGCTGGCATTTCCCTGGCACCGCGGGCCGGCTCCTTCCTTCCCTCCCTCTGGAATCCCAACATTCCAGCCCGATTCCGCCCTTTTTTCTCCCCTTCCCTTAAAACTCTCCCACCTTTTTTTTTTTTTTTTTCGCTTTTCTTTCCCCTGTCTTTTCCCGGGGAGCATCCGTCGGGAACCGGCCGCATTTGGGGAATACTCCCTGGTTTTCTTTTCTTTTCGGGTGGTGCCCCCCGGGAAGAGGGAAGCGTCGGCGCATGTGGAATGTCGAGGCAGAAATGTGGGAATGGGATTCCAACCTTCCCCCCCCCCCTCCTACCCCCTCCCCAAAAAAATCCCGCCTGGAGCGACCCGGCAGGCGGGGGGGGGGGGGGGGAATGGGGGTCCCAGGGACCCCCAAAAATCAATCTGGGACCCCCCAAATCCCTCCTGGGACATTCCAGACCCTCCTGGGACCCCCCAAAAATCAATCTGGGACCCCCCAAATCCCTCCTGTGACATCCCAGACCCTCCTGGGACCCCCCAAATCCCTCCTGGGACCCCCCCCTAGACCCTCCTGGGACCCCCCAAATCTCCCCAGGATCCCCCAGACCCTTCTGGGACCCCCCAAATCAATTTGTGACCCCCTAAATCCCCCTGGGACCCCCCAAATCAATCTGGGACCCCCCAAAGCACCCTGGGACCCCCCCCCGACCCTCCTGGGACCCCCCAAATCAACCTGTGACCCCCCAGATCCCCCTGGGACCTCCCAGCCCCTTCTGGGACCCCCCAAATCAATCTGGGACCCCCCAAATCAACCTGTGACCCCCCAGATTCCCCTGGGACCCCCAAATCCCCCTGGGACACCCCCTAGACCCTCTTGGGACCCCTCAAAATCAATCTGGGACTCCCCCAAATCAATCTGTGACCCCCTAAATCACCCTGGGACCCCCCCAGACCCTTCTGGGACTCCCCAAATCAATCTGGGACCCCCCAAATCACTCTGGGACCCCCCAAATCACTCTGGGACCCCTCAGCCCCTCCTGGGACCCCCCAAAAATCAATCTGTGAGACCCCCCAAATCCACCTGTGATTCCCCAAATCCCTCTGGGACCCCCCAAATTCCCCTCTGACTCCCAAATCCTCTCCTGGGACCCCCCAAATTCCCCTCTGACTCCCAGATCCCCTCCTGGGACCCCCCAAAT